ACCTGATGATGGTTTAATAAAACCGAAACATGTTGTAACTGTTCTAATTGTAAATTGATTATTCGATATGGAACACAGAATGATATTTTAATTATTTAATTATCTTATTTTAAATACATTGTGATTTGACGGAATAACCAAATATTTTAATTTTAATGTTTCTTTCTAGTTTAGCGTCAAGGAAGTCGATGCAAGGACTGTGGGTAATTTTATCTTTTTATTTCAATTAAGGGTAGATCAATGTCTGTCTATACTTCGAACTTTCCTGTCTTGAGGTCATTGCATTTCGTTTGAGCATTATAACATTTGATACCACCATAACCTCGTTTTAATATTTAATTTTCTACAATTTATGATAAAACATGGCGGAAGCTCTAATTTCTACGTTGGAACAACGCTGAAGCGAATTAATATTGGGAATTTTAATAATATATGATGATAGATATTTTGAAAAAAGTGCCTATCCAATTTTTGTAAGGTAATTTATATATAATGTAAAATAACAACATGGCTGCCGTGCGATTTATTCTTAGTATCGATTTTTATAGTGATAACGAATGAAGAATGAGATCCAAGCATGTTAGATTTGGTATGGAATACTAGGATACAAATCTGTTCCCTTTGTGGGATCGAACCAGGGAATTTCCAAGTTCGAGAGAGGGGATCTGTATAGTGAAGGTAATACTTAATATATATTTAAAAAAAATAGAATAATTCCAATGATAATAGTAATAACATTTTGCGACATAGGCCTGTTTAGAATAGAAAGCGTTAATGTAAAAACGTTACGCGAGTAGGTTTCGACCGTGTGCCCATCTGGATACGAGCTACTTTGCATGCGATGTGTCTCATTGCCGTGTTTTAAATTTTAATTATGTTTATTTGACATTAAAGGCACAAGACTTTTGTGACTGGAATTTAACTCTGTAGGAAAATGGCTTTATGGGTTCTCTCCGGAGCCCTTGGAGGCATTTTACCTGATTGGTAGTCGGAGGAAAGTGTGCCAAAAATTGTATCAGTCTGCTACGTTGTGAATAAATTTTCTTCTGTGTGGACCTGTTAGTTACAGACACTTTCTCGCCGCTCTGATATCAGATATTGGGAAGATGACTATTGAATTTTGTGGTTTTCCTCTGGTTTAATTTTGTCTGATAAGAAACAATAGCTCCACACCCCTCTTCTGTCAGTACTTATGAATCGATATGTAACTTCTCACCGACGATCTACGAAAATCGGATGATTAAAATAAATTCTAGTGCTTTGTTATTAACGACTTTAAAAACGTAATCGAATCCCCGGGTAATCCGCAAACTTGGAAGAAAAGACAAGTAGATATAACAATTGTGCGAGATTATTTACAGACATACAAATTTTTTTTTAAAGATTTCCTAATAACAAATGATTTTATATAAAATTAGACGTAGTTCATACCAACATTTTTTGTCATAAATTTCATGTTTTAGCAGCAATTAAATAATATGTCATTCTGTTGTTTATTACTTTTTATAAGTTCTCACTTTTACAACATATTTTATTAAAATTAAATTATTTGGTTATTCCGTCAAATCACAATGTATTTAAAATAAGATAATTAAAATAATTAAAATATCATTCTGTGTTCCATATCGAATAATCGATTTACAATTGGAACAGTTACAACATGTTTCGGTTTTATTAAACCATCATCAGGTGTAAAATTATATTAAATTTAAAACTCAATTACAATTATTTACAATTTTTCGTAGTGTAGTTTTTTGGAGGTCGTGTCCAGATATTTTCATATAATGGATCAACTTTATTGTTTGAAGTGATGCTTTGATGTTTACATCGGTCAGAGATGAAATAGTAGACAACACAGTTGTGTCTGGAGGTGATCCAGAAGTATTACCGTATCCGATCAAGGTTTATTACTGAATGCCGTTGCTAGTGGGGAGTAGGTGAAAGGTGGTTGTCGGGGTTGGGGTCAAGGAA